AATAAAGGGGACTGATATTGCAATTATCTAATAATTGTTATTTGGGCTATGGATTCATAATAGAAACGGATTGGACGAAATCTATGGAGAGTACAAGAAGATTTCGTCCAAGGGTTTTCTAGATGGGCTCCATGGATTGCTTAAGCCCTAAGCAAGGAAATTAGGGTTTCGACCATAAAACCCTAATAGCCTTAACTACAAATTGATCTCTGAGTATATGAAAATCAGATATATGTCTTTTTTGAGTCGCCCTAGCCGATTTCAGCTCTCTCATAAGTCATATTCTTGCATTGAGTGTTTGTGACTCCATTAGATGTGCAACAATTGGGGCACCAGGCTTTCAGAAGTCAAGATCAAGAAGGTTTGTGATTGTTATTGCTACATAACAATCAAGGTAATGTTTCTAACCCTAATCTTATGTCAATTCCGATAATAGTATGTTAGATCTATGGTTTATTGCGTTGGTATTCAATGTTGTATGTTTAAATTAAAAAACCTAGATTAAAGCAATTAAGGTTGTGCGAACACCATAGGAATGATGTTATGCTCATAATCCATCAACGACATTATTGACCCAATATATTGATGGACTTAATGGATTAAGTTCTTAATGGGTTAACTAAGAAACACCTAACCCTAATCGTCATTTTATGTGAAAACCCTAATCTTACTTGGGCCTTAAGTTGGGCCTTTATGTTAGGCTTTGATGATTGGGCCAATAATGGGTCATCCAAGAATAATCATATGGACTAGAATAATTGGATGGGCTTTAGGGTAAGGCCCATGTGAGGGTTTGGGCCCAATTTGGAAAATTGGGACATAGATGGGCCATAATTGGGCCTTTATGATAATGAGATATTGGGCTATTAGAAATGCCAAATGTTGGACTGGACTAAATGGTTGGGCCTTAGGATAAGACCATGTAAAGGTTTGGGCCCTATTCGGAAAATTGGTCCATATGTTGGGCTTTGATTTATAAGGTTGACTTTTGAGCCTTTGGATTGGGCCTTGAGTAGAATCAAACTAAGATGGGGGTAAAGTAGCCTTTTACCTCGAGCATGGACTTATGGATATATGTTGGAACCCAATTGCTCATTGGGTATTATTTTGATGATTGACAATTCGAGAACCTGTCATTCAGCAGCTAGAGTTTTGTCTACGGGACTTCAACAATGTGAGGCAAGTTACCTTCCAGTGAGGTGGGTCTAAGGCACCAATGCCGGCCCACCGGTAGGTGGTTATGTTTGAGATGATTGTATTTGTGATAATTGTCTGGTTTGCCACTATCTGTTATGCTTTATGTGTTAATATGCTATGTTATTATGTGGTAGTGGTAGGGGTGAAATAGTCACCGGTTACCGGTTGAAAGATACCGAAGGGGAGGCCAATACCCAAATATGCTAGGTAATTTATTATTTACATGTATATGTTATGTTATTATGTGGTAGTTGTAGGGATGAAATAGTCCCCAGTTACCGATTGAAAGATACCGAAGGGGAGGCCAACACCCAGATATTTTAGGCAGTTACCGGTTGAAAGATATCGACGGGGAGGCCAACACCCATATATGCTAGGCAGTTACCAGTTGAAAGATACCGAAGGGGAGGCCAACACTCAGATATGCTAGGTAGTTACCAGTTGAAAGATACTGAAAGGGAGGCCAACACCCAAATATGTTAGGTATTATGTGTGTGTGTGTGTGTGTGTATATATATATATATATATATATATATATATATAGGGTATGTGGTATGATGGGGGAACTCACTAAGCTTCGTGCTTATGGTTTTCAGTTTTGGTTTCAGGTACTTCGTTTTCAAAGGACTGGAGTCGGCTCGATCGCAGCGCATCACACTATGTTTTCCACACATGAGATCTTTGGAATTATACCCCGATAGTGTTTTATGATGGCATGCTTTAATTATTGACATACTGGTTTTGACATGATATGTTATTATGGATGTTTTCTTATATTATTGGTTTTATAATAACTTAATTATAACGAAATTTTTTGGTCTTAAATTTTGGGATGTTACAATTATATATGTTTTTTTTTACTATTTTGACTTTGCATGATTAATGATGTGGTTTATAGTATTATAATATAATGTATTGATCTTACTCAGCATAATCTATTATAAGTTATAATTTAACTTATTTAATCATTTACGAAGTGAATTGTATATATGGATGACTATTAATTATTCTTGCATATATGTTTGTTATAAAAATTCGTGTTCAAACCTGGCTTCTACATTAAAGAACATAGTTACGAAACTTTAATAAGGCCATGAGGTATGGGCTTCATTTCACACGTAGAAATCCTATGTGGATCCTATGTGGAAGAGATGTTCACTAGTGAACACCACCCCCAATGGGTGTAATGGTGGTGTGGATTGAAGCTACTCATGGGTTCTCACAACCAATCAAAATCGTTTACATCTATCTCTCTCTCTCTTCCGTTTCTCTCTTGTTCACTAGTGAACACCATTTCCAACCTATATTGAATGCATTGTGAACAAGTCTTGATGATGATGTGGAGAGATGTTCACCCGTTACCATACCCAATGGCCTAAGGATATTAAACACTTTAATAAGGGTATTGAACTAAATGTGGAAAACTTTGAAATATGGAGCATGAAAATTCAGTATGTATCGGAAGAGCAAAAGTATCACAAGGTTCTTATTGAAATCATGGAAGAACCTGGGGTGAAAGAAACACAATCAACATAAGTGAAATGTGACTTGGTTTATCTAACAAGTTTGGTGCAACATCCATTACTAAACTTAATGCTAATATAATGGTGGCTAATTATTATTACTCTTCTTTTTCTTATAATCAAGTTACATTAAATGATATATATATATATATATATATATATATATATATATATATATATATATATATATATATATAACAATTAACCTAGATGATCTAGGAACCAATGTTGTCCCAACCTATGATAAGAGTTTTGAAAATTGTTATGCTCCTCCGAAATGTAATAATTAACATTCAAGAGAAACTTATCTTAATTGAGAATTGTTCTTCAATTTGAATTTTAGATCCTTCTTCCTTCCATAATCTTTTATCTCCTGAAACTCTATGTCTCCAAAATTTTGGCTTTCGCATAAAACTCTTTCAACGTGTTCCACATTAGTGAGCTCTAATAGTAACTCATCGGACTTTAACTTTAGGTACCCTGTTAATGTTTCTAACATAGATCGTGATATTTATATCAAATTAATGTTAAGCATTCCTAGTTGTACTCATTTGTATGGCGTATTCTTTAGGTTTGTGATAAATTTATTTTGTATATTTGTTGATGTGAATTACTTTCTAAATTTAAAGCGGTATATCATGATTATAGATATGTTTTTTTTTTACTATATTGAATTTGCATGATTAATGATGTTGTTTATAGTATTATAATATAACGTACTCTTCTTTTACACCATAATTTATTATTAGTCATAATTTAACCTTTTTAATCATTTACGAACTCAGTTGTATATACGAATGAATATTAAATATTGTTGCATATATGTTTGTTATATTTGTTATAGAACTCTGTGTTTAAAGCTGACTTCTACATCAAAGAACATTGTTGCGAAACTTTATCAAGAGTGTCAAACTAAATGTGGAAAACTTTGAAATATAGAACATAAAAATTCAGTATGTATTGGAAGAGCAAGAGTATCACAAGGTTCTTACTGTGAAATCATGGAAGAACCCGATGAAAGAAACACAACTCAACATAAGAGAAATGTAACATGTTTTAGCTACCAAGTTTGGTGCAACATCTATTACTAATTTGAATGCTAATATAATAACATCTAATTAACTACACCCATAATAGTTCTTACACACACCCTGTTTTCGTACAATTAGGTTAAATTAAATGATATATATATATATATACATACATACATATATATATATATATATATATATATATATATATATATATATATAAAAGCGAGTTAACCTAAATGACCTATGGCCTAATGGCCCCTATGATACAAGATTCAACTACAATGTCAACGTCTTCTCCAAGATAAGAGTTTCGAAAAGTGTCATGCTCTGAAATGTAATAACAAATATTTTGGAGAAACTTATCTTAGTTGAGAATTGTTCTTCAAATTGAGTTTTAGATCCTTATTCCTTCCACAACCTTTTATCTCCTGAAACCTTTTGTCTCCACAAAATCTTGGAATCCGCATAGAAAACTCGTTCGACGTGTTCTACATTATGGAGCTACAACGCTAACTATATCAAACTTTTCATTTAGACTCAACAACTCAATAGCTCTCATCCACCGTCTAATTTTGATTTTTAAGAAAGAGGCGATAAAGTGATAATCAAGCGTGCTCACTCTGCCTCCAGTCTCCAATCTCATATCTAATTTGGACCCTTGATCTATATTTAATCTTATTTTTTCTTAACAATTTGGTTGTAAATTACATTGCCCTTTCAAATTATCAATCAAGTAGTGAAATGGTATAATTAATAGATTTTTAATATCTTCTTACTTTTCATATAATATATGTATTGTTTCAGTTTTATTGTTAGTATTTACTTGTAACTTTATTAGCCTCTTATAAACAATCATGTAATCAATTTCACATATAGAATGTCAATATAAAACAATTGTTAACTCTTAAGTGGAGATACAAATGTCTACATCATACTTTTGTACCTAATTTTTAGAATTTGGGTATTGTATATAAATCCTAAAACGAGTTTGTTTGTTTGACTGACAATGATTCTTTCATTTAAATAATTAATTCATCCATATATAAAATATAGTGTATATGTATATGTTAAATCGACTTATATGTTAGCATAAAATTATTGCACTTTATATAGAATAATTTTTTTAAGTGGAATGTGCAATGGAAAGTTGATAAAATATTTAGTGATCTAGTATAATTAAATAATTATCATTTACAAAATAAATGATAATAGTCGGTAGTTGCAACATTTTTCATACTAAGAGGGGTTAAAGATAACCGAGCACCCAAACAGGTGTACTCCTCGACATTGATACTTATTTTACGCCCCTTTCATTTGATTGCATCGCCCTAAAATTTATCATGATGAAACCCTAGACAGAATCCCAATTCGTCACCATAAACCCCGTCAGCTCTCCCTCATCCTAGTCGATCTTCTACTCAGTAATCAATTAGGGTTTCATACATTCTTTGCTTACCTGCAATCCGAGTCATGGACGCCCAAAGAGCCTTGCTAGATGAGCTCATGGGTTCAGGTTTATATTTTCTATATGTTCTTGCACAATCCTTGTCATTCTCGTATTTATGTTTTCGGTTTTATTTGGTTTTAATTTTGGGATTCTGGATTTGGATTAAGCTTAAGTCCATCGCAATTGGTGCATGTTAGGACCTGAAATTTTGAAACCCTAATTATCTGAATTGATGTGATGGCTTATGTTTTTTTGGTTATTGGTGGTGTGTTTTTAGCTCGCAATTTGACTGAAGAAGAGAGAAGGGGACACAAGGAGATCTCTTGGGATGATAAGGAAGTATGTGGCTTCTACATGGTGAAATTTTGCCCACACGATCTGTTCGTGAATACTCGAAGTGATCTAGGTGGGTTTTGCATTAACCTCCTCTATTATATTCAACTAGCTTCTCTATGTTAATGTTCGGATAGATTGAAAAATAAAATTTGTCTGTTTAACAACTCTCCTTTTTTGTCCCTTTCAAGCTTCAAAAAGGCGTACTTATATTTAAGTAAAAGAATTTCAATGGAAAACTCAAAACAGTAGTTGATAAAGCAAGCCACAACAATAGTTACCTTGAAATCGGGACTAACCACTTGGGAGATTTAACTTAACATGTTACTTTAGGCAGAATTTAATGAAAGGCAATTGAAAGAGTTATGGATTCTTTATCATGAAGTTCAACATGTTGATTCTTTTTCTGTATTGTTTCTTTTCTCAGGTCCATGCCCTAAAATCCATGATCCGAAGTTGAAAGAAAGGTAACAAATTGAACTCTGAAACATGTTTTATAAACTGTAATAGACTGTTATTTGAATCTGATTACTTTTTGCTTTTATGATTTATAGCTTTGAGAGCTCTCCAAGGCATGATTCTTATGTGCCAAGATTTGAAGCAGAACTTGCTCATTTCTGTGAAAAATTGGTACGAACTTTTTCGCATAGATTTGATATGATGCTTCTTGTTACATAATATGGTAAGATTTTTATATTTTCTTGCAACAATTTCAGGTGATGGACTTAGATAGGAGAGTTAGACGTGGACGTGAGAGACTTGCTCAAGAGGTTGAAGTTCCTCCTCCTCCTCCAATTCCAGCTGAGAAATCCGAACAACTATCTGTTCTAGAAGAAAAAATCAAGAACCTTCTAGAATCAGTGGAGGCACTTGGGGAAGCTGGAAAGGTGGATGAAGCCGAAGCACTCATGAGAAAGGTACTAAAAGTAAAAGGGTTCTTCTTGGTTTCTAAAAAAAACTTTGATTTTTGATTCTTGAATCTTGATTCCCATTTTGTACAGGTGGATCTGCTTAACATTGAGAAAACCGCATTGACCCTTCAACCACAGAATGAAAAAGTTCTAATGCTTGCTCAAGAAAAGAAAATGGCTCTTTGTGAAACATGTGGTTCCTTTTTGATAGCAAATGATGCTCTTGAAAGAACCCAATCCCATGTCACTGGAAAACAGCATATCGGTTATGGATTGGTCAGAGATTTCCTTTCTGAATACAAAGTAAGCAAATTTCAAGATTCAAAATCTTGTTTTCTTCTTCATTTTCTTTTTCTGTAAAAACTCAAAAACTGATTACAGGAGGCAAAGGAGAAGGCAAGGGAAGAGGAAAGATTAGCAAGGGAGAAAGAAGCAGAAGAAAGAAGGAAACAAAGAGAAAAAGAAATTGAAGGTAAACACAGAAGTGGATCTGCTGACAGGGACAAGAATCGTTACAGTGACAGGTCATCACGTGATCGAAACCGAGGATCTCGGGATTCTGGAAGAACATCGGATCGTAGGGCCCACAACAACAGTTACAGAAATGGAGGTGGTGGGGACAGGAGAGGGGATAGATACAGGGACAGAAGCAGGTCTCATTCCCCTAGACATGGTGGAAGAAGAAGGTCATCCAGAAGTCCGTATTAGTGAGAGAGAAAGATTGTAGAAAAATCAAAAATGTCCAAGTCAGAAGAGGTAGACTTTTTATTTTTCAAAAAAAAAAAAATTCTATATAACTACCCGTAATAGAAATTCTATGAATGCGTGTGTTTTGGAGTCTTAAAATGTGTTTTGGTTTTTGTTCATGGGAGAAGTGAAGTGAAGTGAACCTGTTTTTTGTTCTCACAGCTTTGTTGAGATATAACTAAAGGAGAAAAAGAGTCTTAAGGGAGGTATTTTACTTAAATTGTTGTTGCGTAATAATAATAATGATCTGTTTTCATAATCTTTGGTTGGTGACTAATTGTTTTAAAGGGGTAGTTTTATACAAATAGAACACAAAGATTTGGTGAAAGAAATCATCATGATGGTTTTCCCATGGTTTGAGGTAACCCCACCCACAATTAAATCTTCAATCTTTACAATGAGGTTTATGAATGATAAAGAGATGATATGATATGCATGATGCAGCCTCTGAATCTGAATCTGAAGTTGGTTTTTGTATGTGTTGAATGATTCTTTTACAAAAAAGGTGTTGAAGAAGCTCATAGAGGTAACCAAAGCTTGAAACTTGAAACTGTAACATTTTGTTTTTGCAGGGAAGTTAGATCACATTTGTGATCAGTTTAATACTTTGCTATTAAACTGTTTTGATGTTTTTAGAATGTATTTGAGATATTTCAAACATTTTTTTTCAATATAAACTTTGTAAAATGTTGATGTCTGCATTTAGAACATAAAGTTTTTGAGATCTTGTATCAAAGGATCTTAATCTAGGCATTTTGCCATCCCGAACCAACTTGATTAATTTGAGTGTAAAAAGTTATTGGGAAAAAGAAAAACCTCCTTTTTTGTACAAACACCAAATTTTTCTTTATTTTCATATGTTGGGTTTCATGTTTCTTCAATCTTCGACACTTTTATGGTAAGTGTGAAGTTTTAGTTTGAACTTGTTAAATAAGTTGGGTTTTAATTAAAACATGATGAGAATAATGAAATGTAACGTGATAGGAGTTGTAGGAAAGTCTTTTGAGTTGGGGACTTTAGTAGGGTTGACTATGGTGCTTTGAGGTGGAAGATCATGTGGGTATTTGTGCTAAGGATCACCCAAAATTTTGGTTCAAGAATCACACATAGGATCAAACTATAAATAATGATAATAATAAAAAGATAAAATAAGAAAAGGACAACATAAAGGAAAATTCGTCATGCCACAAGCATTTAACGGTTAGACGTAGTTAGCCTGTAAGTTTTTTAAACCACATAAATGAGCAGTGTCAAAGAAGCATTATTTTCATAGGTATTTGTAGGCAACCCAATTACAAATACACAAAGTACCTCATTATTGTATTTTTGTTGAGTGTAATGTTGAAGTCAGCGATTTTTCTTCTCTACACAATCACAAGTCATGATGTTGATATAGAATTTAGAATTTTTCATAATCACACGGTTTCACCATGGCTCCACATCATAAGAGGCCAAGTCAAAGTCCAAATCCGAAAGGCAAAAGACTAGAACCTATATACGACCTTAGAAGCTCTTCATCCTTTGATGATAGACTCTAAAAATCGATTAGGTTATTTATCCTCTTTTAAGTTCATGTCAAGAATGAGTACCAATTGGGCAATCATTCTGAATCCTGTCTTATAAAAAATAAAAATAAGAGAAAAATGCAAATTTGGACCCTGTGCCGTTTTTTGAGGTTTTGGTCTATATTCAAAAATGGCAAATTTGGTCCTATTAGTCGGTTTCATTATGGTTTTGGTCCCTGGAGATAACCCCTCTCATCCGTTAACTCAATATATGTGCCTCTCATGTGAGTGTATTTCAATCATTTTACATCTCATCTCTCCTTAATCTATTACTTTCATCCGTGAAGAACCTTAATTTGTGACAAACATCTCTCTTGCTTCTGTCTTTCCTATCATTCAAACTCACAATCATCAACAAGTTCACCATCTTCAAGCTCTCACTCTCTTCTCACCAATGACATCATCACCTAATCAAATGTACTTCAAATAACTTTTTTAGTTGTTTCAGACATGATAGTTATGATGATGATTACACACACATTGTTCATATTAAAATGGGACGATTTTACAAAACACCCCAAGATTTAACTTTGGGAAAAAAACGAACTACATTTAAACGTAAAAAAAAGCTTAAAACTTGAACCTTTAACTTTCAAAACCCTGGACCTTCAACACCATAAACCTTCAAACCTAACGTGAACCTTCAAAACATTGAACCCTATCAAGAATTGCCATCCCATGCTTCACTCTATGACCAAAGACCTACAAAAGATTAATCATCGCCACAAGGATCTCCAAATCTTTAGCTCTAGAGATCAAGAGATAAAGTTGTGTGATTTACCTTTTTGTGTAGTATGGGAACCAATTAAGCTATTGAAGCATCTCACCCTTTTCATAATACCTTGCCATTATATCGTCACATTAATTCCAGAACAAGTTTATGTTTTCGAAGCCCTTTCATAGATCGTATTTTATTTCACCGATAAGTTGGGACTCAATTCTCTATTTTCTCGCCATTGATTGTTAGCTAGAAAAGATAGGTTTTTTTTTTTTTTTTTGAAGCTTAAGTAATATTTGAATATGTTTTTTATGTGTGGATTATGGTTGTTTATAAGGACAAGCTCATTACCCATTTTTAGTTATTACACTAAAAAGACCCTTTGGTTGTTTCATATGCGTAGATAATAATTATTGTTTAAACACTGGATTTATTTGTTTAGGAAATGAATACCATAATTACATACATATCTAGAGCCTAGTAGAAATAATATCTTAAGGAACTATTTATATACTCTTTTATATGCTTATAAAAAGTCATAAATTAGCCATACATATCTAGTATATCACATAATACTATGAATCTATTTCACAATTTCTTTATCATTTAGATTGGTAATGGCCAACATCCACCTTATAAATGAAGAATACATGCACTAGATTGCATCCTATTATTCAGAGGAGATAAGGAAACATAACAAAGAAACTCAAACTCGCTCTTTAATGTTGAAAAGACTTAATTATCTGTCGATGAAGAAACTAGGACGATTTTGTTATTTCCATTCATAGCGACCACAAGGAACATGGTTCCTAAGTATCCCAATACTTACTTATTTTCTTGATGATGATGATTGGGATGGATTTACATTATAGAACCGGTGTGTTGATCCTTAAAACTTGAACTTGGAATAGTTGGTATCTTCAATTTTGACGACCCTAATACGCCATTAAAATTCATAAAGGCATATGACCACAAACATGTTTTTGCATGATTTGGTGGTCCTATAATGAAAACATTTGTCCGACTCTATATTCAAATCTTCTTTATCGTTAAACATTTGACGAATCAAGACATGTGAAGTATGCTCATAGCACAATGGCATTTTATGAATGATAGCTGGTTCTAGGTTAATCGATAAAGGAGGCATACACGAGAAAACATTGAAATCTTTATTACCTTTGTTTGCTTCATTCTCCACATCATAATCATTCATTCGAATATATTTATCCACTAAATCACCATCAATGTTCTCCTTGTATGATATCCTTTACAACAATCATAATTTTCTCTGCATATGGAGATGGGTCTGCTTTAGAATCATTAAGCCAAAAGATACGGGCTCCATTTGCAGTCCTTGATGCACCAATATCACATGTATGTTCCTCATTGAGAACATTCTTATATTTACATTGGACTGACATTGGTTAACATAATCCAAAGACCTAATATGAGAAATCATCATAGTTGGGACTTGATTGCTACTGGATGTTGATCCCTTGAACTCTATGCCCCAAAATCGACAGCATACAACATAGTTGTATGTGAATACACATAACGAACAATATCTAAATAGTCATTTACCTCATCATCTAGACAACAGTGCCACCCATGTGGCACTCTTTTATATTTATATGATAATATTATCAACACACGTAATTTTATAGCCACCAAATTAATCAATCCATAATAGGTTACATCCAAAGGCAAATTCTAAGTGTGATTATAGTTAACATTTGTTGGACATATATTCCCAAACACCATTAACATTCTCTCACACCCCTCCACTATAAGGAACTACTTTAATATTACCATTTTGTTAATTTATTATTGATTTAAATAAATAGGAAGATAAAGATAATAGAATAAACTGATAGTAGGATTTTGAAATACGGATCTATCTATAAAGACAGCTAAATTGCGAAATTAAAACATATTGCTAATCATTTGCGATGGATGATATGACATGATTTATTTTTATTTTTTAAAAATTTAGTAAACGACAAGTTTACTTCAAATTACCAAATGACCATATATTTCTTAAAAGAACCAAACAACCATGTTTTTTCTTAGAAATGCCAAAAGACAATATTGGAGGTTACAAACGATAATATCACAAAAAGACATTAAATAATTTATCAAGCAATGTGTAAGAGACTTGATTGAAACCCGTTGGTATATTTCTTTTCTAACTGTCTGAAATGTACGCACAACTGTTTTATGTGTTCAATCCGGTAAAATCAAAGTTCTCTTTAATCCATATATAAATGTCTCCGCGAATAGTTATACCAAATTCACAACTACTCTCATCTATAAATACAACTCAAAAATTCAAACATCTCTTACATTACCTCATATATCATCATTCAAGGCTCACTCTTCGCATCTTACAAACAAGATTCGCTGTAGGAACATCAAGACTTTCCAAATCATTTTTCATCACATCCTTCAACTGATCCCTCGGTGTTGATAAACAAGTATGAAACGTAGCCAAAATCGGCGGAATCGGCATCGACAATGCCGACAACACATTGCTCAGATACTCGATATCCACCGACAGCTGTTGGGCCCCACGTTCCGTTATATACTGAATACCCCTCAGTTGCTCCATAAACAAACCCGCAGCACCTTCTGCCACCTATTTCATCATCATCATCATTACTACTCAATTATTTATTTATTATGATTATGATTATGATTACCTTAAACATCCATTCTGTTGCGAAGAACTGTGCTTCTTCAGCATTGGCATCGTTGTTTGAAATGGTTTCGGCTAGTGGTTCGAGTTGTTGGGGTAGAGTGAGAAGGTATTCACCTACTGTTGTTATGTATGATTGGGCGTATGCACTGAAGCTTGGAAGGTGAAAGGTGGTGGTTTGTTCCTCTACGGATGACCATATGGGTAGATTTGATACACCATTCAATTGCTTTCTTACTTTGGATATAAGGACATCGTATACAAGCTCGTTTACTGTGTCCACAAATGCGGATACTCTTTGAGATGCAATTGGAAGCGCGTGGAACCGTGGATCTTTTGACTGGTTTAAAAAGAAAATGTTGAAAACAAAGATCATCAAAATTACAAGTTTAGTCCATGTGGTTTCATTTTGTTGCAGTTTTGCTCCTGTTTTGAGTAATGGTCCCTATGCTTTTTGATTTTTACAGTTTTTAGTGCAAAATTAAAACATTTTCAATTCTGGTCCTTATTTCAAGGTTTCATATTGATTCTGGTCCTCGGATTTTCTGATTTTGACTCTTATAAGGTTTCAGACAATTTTGGTCCTTATTTCAAGGTTCCAGGGACCAAAATTGAAATGAAACATTAATATAAGGAACAAAACTGAAAAAAAAAAAAAAAAAAAATCAATTTTCAACTAAACATGGTAAAAAAAAATCAAAAAATGTACTCTATGATAGTTGTCCTTTTAGAATAAAATAAGCTGCGTAATAATCTAGGAAACAATTTAATAATAAAATTACGAGGAAATTACAAATTAGGTCCTTGCGGTATACAGTTTTTCAGGGTTTGGTCCAAGGGCA